GTTTTTAACGAGCGTTGATTTCTTGCTGATTTTTGCTTTCTTCGCTGCTGCAAGTTTATGGTTAATAACCTTTCGGCAGAAAGTTTGCACTCACAATTTTAATATCTACTCATTTTTTTTTATTTTATTAATTTTACTATTTTTTACAGTTGTTTTCTAGCAACAAAAAGAAGAATGTAATAAATGAGAAATTGTTGTTTTTTTTGTAAGCTTGCCAGACTAGAAAGTATCCAGTGGCAGCGGAAAGAAAAAAGTAATATTTAGTGGTAAAAGAATGAATTTTTTTCTGGTCAAAAATGGTCGACGCTGGTACCGAAAATATAATAGAAAATCTGTGTTTGCATGAAAAATATGAAATGAACATAAAATGTTAAAAAACATTTTTAGCTCGCAGTTTACTGTTACTAGTGAACTTATACTGTTGCTAAATCAATTAGTAATCTGAGTAAAGAGTTTACCTATTGCCAAATTGAACAATATTCAGCAACCAAATTAAAACTGATGACAAATTGCTAGCGTGAAAAAAAACGAATTTTAAAACAACAAAAACCAAATATGTACAACTGTTGCAAAAGTACATAAAATTTACTTTTTTAATATATGTATGTACACACATACGTATTTGTCCATGTACTTCATATAGCTTGGCATACAGTGAACCACAAAAGTTCACAAATCTCGTTCTATAAAAAGTATCTGCGACTATGTTGTCATATGAACAGGGACCGTAACGGTTATAAGCAGGGAATGGATTTTTAGGACCTAAAAACCTATAAAAAAGGCAAAATAAAATAACGAAATAGGCTGGAAAAGGCAAAATAAAATAGTGAAAAAGGCAGGAAAAGGCACTAGGTGTTGCAAAAAAGGCAAAACAAAATAGCGAAAAAGGCAGGAAAAGGCACTAGGTATTGCAAAAAAAGCAAAATAAAGCACTAAAAAAAGACAGAAAATACGAAGAACAATCAAAAAATACATTTATTTTAGAAATGTTTGTATTACAAGTAAAAAGAGAAAAACTATGAACTAGTTTCATTATATGAAAAATTTGTACTTAGAATCTTTGACTATTTTATCCTTTCTAGTTTCTAACTCATAAAACTTTAATCTGTATAGTTGTANTTTTTAATCGTTATTAACTAAGTTTTATTTTTTGCTCGGAAAATAAAACTTAATTTTTGCGTATGCATATGCGCTTTTTTGCACTTTTTCTTTAGAAATGTGGTTCTCTTTGTTTCTGCCCTGGTATCTGTATTTTCATTACCCACTCCACAGTGGCGTTAAAGGTTCAATGCAGCCGCCCCCTGTCTATTCACGCATGCGCATGCTCATACGCAAAAATTAAGTTTTATTTTCGGAGCAAAAAATAGAACTCAAGAAATAACGATTATTTTCCGAGCAAAAAATAAAACTCAAAACATAACGATTATTTTCTGAGTAAAAAATAAAACTCAAAATATAATGATTAAACTTGATTTTTATAAGTTAAAATTAAAAAATAAAAATCAGTGCCGCTGAAGGTACTCCGAGTAATAAGAAATATATTGGTTTACTCCTTATGCACGTAGCATTTCTCCTTCCGCGTGATTTTTTGAGTTGAAATTTCAAAGGATAATCGTTATTTGCGGTCCCTGCATATGGCACAAAGTGCATAACACCGCCAGCAAAAAAATATCAATGATCAACGGGAGGTTTTAGCAACTTCAAACTTACTGATTGAACTTTGATTTGTAGCCTATAAATATTTTTCTAAAAAAATCAGTATAAAGTTGAAAAGTTATTGTTTTGTTCCTGAGTTTTACCCAATGTTTTTTGTTGGACTTATGTGATTTATGTACATACAGTGACTCAAACAAATGACCACGTGTTGATTTTCTTCAAATATTCGTTATGTTTTTCGAGCTAAATTTTTTTTTGTAATTTTTATATAAAAACATCGTCTAAAATTATTACTCGAAAAATATTACGAATATTTAAAAAAAGCAACACATGGTAATTTCTTTGAGTCACTGTAGCATATATATACGTATCTAATATTTGTGCATATTCGTTGCTTGCGCTATTTTCTAACAATAGCAATAGAAATTTTATTTGTTTACAAATTGTAAAAATGAATATTTAAACACAAAAAAACAAAACCTAGGACTTTGTGTACGCTTCGTAGTAAAATTATATATTTACCGCCAACTTTCGAGTGCACAGTAAACAAATTAAGGAACAACAAATAATTTTCTGCCATAGTTGTGGGATTTTCAGCCGACCGCCGCGCGCCACTTACATATTTACAATTTCACTTGAAAACCAGATTTAGGCCGTGTAAAGTGCCAACGTTGCGCAGGCGCACTAAGCAATTAGCCGCCTAACGACAAAAGTATGCAGCCCCCCTCCGGCCTACGACTGGCATATTGGTGTTTTCAATTAGCATTGATGTTTGCATTCGCGATGCAAAAAGCGCGCGTCAATCAGTTATGTACTTCGTGCCAAGCCAAAGCCAAAGCTCAACGAAATAGCCGAAACAAGAGCAAGCGTACGAAAATTAAGCACTGGCTTACACACACTCTCATAAGTTGTAAAACAAAAGACCGATTTTCCTATCCATCAGACTAAAATAAGTAAAACTATTTACTTTTTTACTTCGAGAGAGCGAAGTGTCACGCACTTGGCTGTGAACTTTTGTGATTATAAGTGGATTTCTTGCTCTTCGTCTTCTTCTTACCACTTTGACACTTGGCATTCAAGTGTGGTTTTCTAATAAACAAAGAAAGTATGTATGTACATATGTATGTATGTTTATAGTGTGAATTCATTACGAACACAAATCAAATAAAAGTCCATAAAATTGTTTTGAAAAAGAAAACGAATGTACGGAAAGAAACAAGTTTCAATAGTCAGTCGGAAAACGTGAAGTCATAAAGTCAAGAAAAAGTAAACTTCAGCCTATATACATACATACATACATACGTACATATGTCTGACAAGATGCAGGGCAAGCCCCAAAAGGCTGTGGTTTTGCTGGACTTTATTGTCTTTCTCAAAAAAAAAAAAACTTACAATATTTGAGCAGATCTGTGAAGTGAGCCATAGGTATAGTCACACACTCAAACATCCACTGGACTTCTGCTTCGGGTCACACACATAGAAAAAAAGCACTATTTGTCTAACTGTACTTGTATGTATTTGAAGCACTTGGCAATATGCAGGAAATGCCAAGCAAAAAAAAGTAAAGCTCCGCCGAGGCTTCATTCATTCATTCATTCATATTTATTGTGCAGCTTTAGAATCGGCACGCCGAGTATGCCTGCCGCCATTATAATCCATTATACATACAAACATATCGCGCAACACTTTTATCTGCTCAAATTTCATGCAAACTCGTTTGGATTCTTGGAATTTATACCTTTTAATTAAGTCGCTGAACTAATGCGGCGCGGATGAGTGAGCCAAAAGCGGGGCGGGGAAGAGGGAAACACATAAATGCAATACAAATTTTAATAAAAATGCAAAAACTAATTTCGTATGCCGGTTTGGTGAAGGTCGCATATTCGAAAATTCGGTTAATTGGGTAAAAAGTTGACAAAATGCGCAAGACAAGAAGGCGAAATGCGCGAAAACTGAAGCATACAATTTTGGCTAAGAATTAAGGTGTTATGTTAAAAAACAGTTTTAGCTTAAACTGTAATGTAAAATTATGAAAAAGTTAAATTCGCCACCTTGTAGTAATAGGTGTTGAATTTAACCAGTTTTCCAATGAATTATGCTTATAAATAAATAGCACTGAGTTTTTAATGAGATGATTAGGTTAAGCAAGACTATAGTAAAAAATAAAATAAAAATGAAATCTTTTTAATATACTACGCTTTTATAAATGGACTAAAAATTAGAAAATAATATTTATCAGTCCCACAGAATATGTTTTGATAACTTTTGATTTTGAAATTTTAGCAAGTCATTATAAACAATTTATGAGATTGAAAACGAAAAACGTGGAGCGCATGCAATACAAAGCATTAGATTTAAGTGACAATAGTCAAACTACATAACATAGACCTAAAATTTCTACAGAGAGAGTACACATTTGAGATAGATTTTAAGCGGCCGTTATTCATATACCAATATACATACATTCATATCAATTCAGATCTATTACATGCGCCCACGCTTTTCATTTTCAATCTCATAAATTGTTTATAATGACTTTTGCTAAAATTTCAAAATCAAAATTTATCAAAACAATTTCTATGGAACTGAGAAATATTTATTTTTTTATTTTTTTTTGTACTTTTTAGTCTTGTCTGTATAAAATTTTGCAATAGATATTAAAATAATTCAAAAGAGAATAGAAGACTATGCAAGCAAAATGTTTTGTGCTCACATTTAGTATATACATACATATAGCAGCAATTAATTTCATTTAAAGAAATGGCGTCGCAGTAGCATATTTTTAGGCGCGATATATAACTACTTGCGGCGAGGCGACATCTAGAGTATTAATATGATACCCGGCGACGAGTTGATGTCTAGACTTTTTTATAGGATCTTTGCAAAGCAATGGTTTTATAGCTATAAATGGTGTCTGGACACATAACATTGCAAGTTGATAAAAGCGTTGTAAAATATAGAACTTATTTTAATTCAGACTTGAGCCATTTTTGTATTTTCAAGACATAATTTTTTAAGTTTGAATAGTGCAAAAGTCTGAGATTTTTTTTTATTTTTTTGTATATTTCTACTATGTATACCCTTGCTAACCTAACCATCTTTTTAAAAACTTCAAACCGTTTCTTTGTAAATCTATATCCAAACTTAATTAATTTTTAGATTTTCCAAAAATGTCTATTTTTACTCTAATAACCTGAGCTTAGAGCTTCTCAGCCGCTCCGCCGGTAATGTAAACACACATTCATTTTTATTCATCTTTTACTAATTAAATTTTCAAGCACAACAACAAAAAAATTTAGTAACTTAACTTTACCAACACAAAAATGTTCTCTTTTTCATTTCAGAAACTTTATGCAAAAGCGATCTATGATAACTTTGCTGACTCGCCGGATGAGTTGGCCTTCAAAAAAGGCGATGTCCTCACAGTCATAGAGCAGGACACAGATGGCTTGGAGGGCTGGTGGCTATGTTCGTTGCGCGGACGCGAGGTAAGCAATTTCAGCCAACAAACAGAAAACAAATTACCAACTAAGTCAGATTTTAATCAGCAAACCATTTGTAATGCGTAAATTGCCTTCGTTGAGGAAAAGGTACAAAAACACTCCATAAGGACACTACTGGCAGCACCAAGCAAATGCAAAGAGCCATCTTCTACAATAAAACGATCAACTGCCGGGCTGCCGGGCTGACTGTCTGATTGGCTGAGTGACAGCTTTGTTATTAATGAAATATGCAAAAATGCTTAATAAATGCATCAACGCATATGTACGTACGTTCATCTGTGCATTTTTTCACGCCTGAGTTCATTCCCCACATATGTATTAGCTGCAGCAAAAGGAGGGGCGAGCGAAGATGATTGGTGTCCACACTGCACTTTCATTTCACAGAAGTTTAGTTTTGCGGCTATTTTTAGTGCAAGTTATAATTACAAAGTAGCAAAAAAGCAGCAGCAGAAGGAAGATTAAGGTAGAAACAAAAGCGACAGACAGTGAGGTTTCCATATATGCGTTGTAGATATGTATGGTTGAATTCAGTTAATTGCCGAGATAGGGATACATGCTGGCCCCATGCTCGTCGTATGCAGTGGAATTCAGATTTTAATTGCATGAAAATTGCAAATACTCTAAACTTATTTTTAGTTTTGTATTTGATTGTTCTTAATGGTGTTTTTTGCACAAAGCGTCGACATTTTGCATTTTTTCCTTAAGCTAGTATATGCATTTGAATATTGAAAAGCAAACGAGTTGGCAGGTACGAACATACATAAATACATAAGTCATACATTCAATATAGGTGCCGGGTCAGCAAGGTATACCAGACCACTGCATTGCAGATGAATTGGTTTCTTTCAAATACGGGAATTCCACCACCGTCTAGGACAGAGGAAAAATTTTTAGAAGCCACTATGACGAAGCACAATGAATTAATGACGGCTTACGCGTACCGCCTTCTAGGTGATATATGAAGGAAGCCACTACGATTTAACTTATCGTAGGCCTAAGGTGCGCACCGCCATTCCGCAGACCAGCATTCGAAATTTCCTAATTACCTAAATCCCAGATATTTACATTGGTACGCAGAAGGATCAAGGATGCAGAACAGAACAGGTGCTAGTTTTTATTAGCCCCGGTACTAGACTTTCTATTGATGGCACACGGGCTTTCCGGGTGGACTCAGTCGCGGCCTTATTTGAGACAAAAATAGGTCGGTAAAATCAGAACGTACTTAGCTAGGGAGATCGACAGGGGACTTGACACAGGCCAGGCTCTTGGATATCTCACTTACAAACCAATTAGAAAACTTGATCGATATGGTTTTAGCAACCTAAACTAAATTGCGCTCAAACTCATTGGAATTTTAGTATTCTACTAATCAATAATAGTTCTTGGACTACATATGGATATATGGACGTTAATCAAGGCGATAAATGAATTTATACATACATATTCTATACAATTGTTATTAGTTCTCACATTTTCATACATTCTCTGGCCACATGCCTCAAAGCCAGTTGTAAGCGTCGCACGTACAACAAGCCATCGGCGCTCAATGTTGACCGACCATCAAGTTTTACACGGCGGCGCCTGGCCGCTTTATAGGCGGCTAAGCGGCTAAGCGTCAAAGCCACAAACCACTTGTCAGTGGCAAAACAATCAGAGTAAACAGAGTAAATATTTCGCGTGCGTAATTGGGCAGCAAAGGGGGAAAAAACAGAAATAAAACTATTTGACAACAACACTTTCATTGGTGGCGGCTACATTGGCGTGCAAAAAAAACAAACGACAGCGACAATAAAAACCTAAAAAAGTTAATTAAAAAGGCAACGCAACACTTTAATGGAAACAATTAACCCAAAAGTCAACTGCACTGAAGCATAAAACGCAAAGCAACAAAAACAACAACATACTAAATACGAGCGCTGAAACCTAAGGCGGCGTCAACTCCTCCTCTATCGCCTGCTATTTATTCGCCTGTGTGTTGGCAACACTGTAGTGTCGCGCAGATGTTGGCGTGCCTGCGTCTGCGTCTGTTTTGTTTTTTTTGCCATTGTTGCTGTTATTGTTGGCAACATGTGTTGTGCCGGCTTACTTGTTGACAGCTCGGTGAGTTTGTTGTCGCAAATTTGGAGCAATCAACAACTTTTGTAGCATCTGTGGCAGCAGCAGCAGCAACAGCAACAAAACGGCAACAGCATAAATTTGCACATATTTCCAACATAAATCGCCAACAACAACAACGTCAATAACGTACAAAAAAATACTCGGAAAATCGAAAGTATTAAATTGAAAACGAACGGCGAACAATTGGGGCACCCAACCACGCTGTGGCACCTATGTACCTAACCTACTATTTATTTATTAGTAATATTGCTTGTGCATGTGCATGTGTGTGCTCATTAAATGCAAAATAATAATTCATCATCGCTTGCGCAATTGTTTGTTTGGTTGGATGTGCCCGCCGCCATTCGTTGTGACGCTTATGCATCGATTTTTCAATATTACAGCAATTCGTACCATTCCATTTTAATTGTTTAAATCTATCAAATGATTGCTGGCAATTTCCTAACAATGAACAGCATCAGCAACGACACTAGGCAGACAGACAGTGAATGGAGAGCAACAATTGAGGCCATTTACGCCAAAGCAATGCATCACAATTAACTATGTATTTAACCATTGATTTGAGCATCATTTTTTTTTTTTACATATAATTGTTGCAATTAATTTTCTTTAATTTTCTGCTCATTTCAGGGTCTGTGTCCGGGCAATCGGCTGCGCATATTGAACTCCTACGATTCGGGTTGCTTCTCTCTATCACCACCACCCTCACCCTGTCCCTCGCTGGCACCCAGCCTGATCACCTTGAACAGCAACTCCACTGCTTGCTATGACCATTTGTCCATCAACAGCAGCGCTGGCACCATTAGCAGCAGCAGCAGCAGTAGCCATCACGGCGGCAATGTGGCCGCCGCCGCCCACAGTGGTGTCGGACTACGCGACAGCCAACAGACACACCTCCTGACACAACAACAGCGACAGGGCACACGACGCTCCTGGCATGTGTCGCCGAATAAGGTAAGAAATGTACACAAGTTTTTATTTACAAACAATGTATTTGTATAGGGGATTGCATGTGTGAATATTAGAGCTGACTTTTAAGGCTTGGTCGATGAGTTGGAATGGTTTTATTGTTTTTCAAAGTATTTCCAAAAATTATGAATACGGGTTTGCATTCGTCCGAACCAATTTTCGAAAAAGTTTGCCACTTTGAGGTTTGTATCACCGATACCGGGGGCCCCATTGTACTTTTCGAGCACAGAAAAACGTTTGCCGCTCATTTTTGAAGTGCAACTTCTTAATTGAGTTTAACAGGTCTAGTCTGAACCTTATCGATGATTTTGTAACTGGAAAATTTTGTTACCAATTATTACGTTGTTGATGCAATGAAAATATTCAGGAATTCAGCTATGAAGAACTGTGGAAATTCTGGCATTGCAAGATGCACGAAATGCGAATAGAGTGAGAAAATTTACAGGAGCTTTATTTACCGGTTACAAATTTTTTTTTGTTACCAGAGCAGAATAGACCTTTAAGACTTCGGTTAAGGTGGTATATGGTGAAAGCGTGGACAGAAAATAAACGACTTGACGACAAAGATAAGTATAAAAAAAATACAGACAATGATTAAGATTGAGAAGGTGAATATGAAAATGATGATGAATATGCAGATAAGCAGAAAAGATAATGACGAAGATGAAGAGATATATAAAGCTAGGCAGACAAGGGCAGAGACAAAGGCTAAGACTAGGGCTAAGTTCAAGATTAATATTGATAAGTCTCTGCTGTCTAAAACGAGTATAAAAAAGTCTTATTTTTTCCTCGATCTCTGCCAGTTCGTGGCTATAAGGCGGATGACAGATAAATTCCACGCTTCCAATGCACAAAAACGCTTTTGTTTGAGCTGATGTGTACGAAGTTGTATTTTCGTTATGGAGGATCCACCTTTGGTGGTTAGCAGGGTTCGAAACTCATAAATTAATTTTAAGTTAAATATTCCTATAATTTTTTATATGATTTCTGTCATATAAAAAACGAACAACATATCACTTTTTATTGAATTGTTTTATAAAAAATTACATTTTATAAAAAATGTTCTTTTAAAAATATATTATGTGCATGTGCACGACCAGAAATTTGTACTAAAATCGGTTCACACACATGTGCATGTGCTTAATAACAAACAGCACACACTTTGCTGTGAGCGGAAGGTTGGTTTTCCGCTAATGCACACACGTGTGTATGAGCAATGAGTGCAAGTTGAATGTGTATCTGGTGTGTGCGGGAGCAGAGCATGTGTGTGCAAATACGAACCCTGGCGGTTAGTTTTTTTTTTGTTTTTTTAATTCGGCAAGACTTTTAGGAATAGCACTATCAAAATGTATTTGAAGAAAATCTTTGGACAAAATCCAGAAACTTCTTATTTTTCAGCATTTCCTTAGGCTTAAAAATGTGCCATGTCGATGTCGTTGTTGGGTTCGCAAGTAATTTTTAAGCAAAAAACAAAACTGACTTCAATTCTCGTATAAAAATTTAAAATTATCGTTCATTTCTTCATGATCCAATGAACGGATTTAAACCAACTTAGAATGGGACCACCTGTAAGTTAACACCTTTTCTTTAAAAAAAAAGAATTATAGAAATCGGTTAACGTTATGCGGTAACATACATTAAAAAAAAAAAACAAAAAATATATATATTCTGACGAATTGATAACCTTCTTTTTTTTGTGAAGTCGGTTAAAAAGTACATTAGATGACTAAGAAACAGGGTCAATGAAATAAAATTTTCAGTGATTCTCCCAGTGAAGTAGGAGAAAGCCATTGATCAACTTCTATTCCAAAAGTAATCATATTGTCACTTTTAAAAGTAATTTATTCACACTAAAATTTTCAGAAGTACCATTTCTACCTCACTTCGTTTTTCAAAAACGGAAAACGATTTTTGGTTATCATTCGCAAATACATAAGTTCTCCTCCTCCCACTCTGGCGCTTGCTCCATTAAGTCACAGCTGAAACAGGTAACATTTGATACGCGCATGTCCCGGAGCGCAATGACAAAAGCACTACAGCTACCTTGCTTTTGTGTGAGTTTGTATATGTGCATATGTATGTACAGCCCGCGACAAAACGATAGCACCTCAACATTTTGAACTGTTTCGAATATTTATCTTTTGTTTGTTTAATTTCATTCATTATTTTTAAATAAGAGTATAGCTCTTTATCTATTGAAAATCATATAAATCCAAATTTCAAACTTTGTGAAAAAATTATAAAAATTCTACAAACATTTCATCCCAATTCCAAGCATTTTAATTTTAATTTCTAGAATAATTTTAAGTACACAGCTTATTAAATTCTAGTGTAATAAAGTGCAAGTTTCAAGTTGCTAAAAAATCGCGTTGATTTTTTTTTTTATTTTTTTGCTGACGGTATCGCGCATTTTCTTCTGTGCAAAGTAATTTTTATATAGAAAAGAGTTCCATAACACCGTCAGAAAGAAGAATTATCAAAAACCAAAGCAATTTTTTAGCAACTTCAAACTGTCACTTTATTATACTAGATTTTAGGAAGCTATAAAACTGCATACCAAAAATTAATTTAGAAATTATTACTTGGAATTGGGATGAAAAGTTGTGAAATTTTTAAAAATTTTGGAACACAGTTTGAAATTTGGACACATATATGGTTTCGTTAACCTTAAAAAAAAGCAAAAAAAAAAGTAGTGAAAACTGGTAAAAATGTTGATGTGCTATCTTTTGTCGCGGGCTGTATGTTTGTGTGCTCGAATATTTGCACTTAATTAGAGCATTTCAATGAGGTTTCAAGCCAGCGCTAATAGAGTAACAAAAAGCATTTGCGAACTCATTGTAAATTTTGCATTTGGAGTCCGCTAAAAAGTGCAACTGACGGCAAGCGGTGCCAGACGGTACGCGGCCAACAGTTGTTGGTAGTTGGTGGTTGTTGATTATTCGCTACTGATTGGCGGCTGATGCTTGACGCTTGGCACCAGCGCTGCAGGCTTTTTAAGCCCACTTGATCCGCTTTTGTGCGGCGCCGCCAGTCGATTTGATTGCGGAGTGTGTGTGCTCAGGTGAAATAATGTGAAAAGGTGTCAATTGACATTCGATAAGATCGTGTTTGCAGATCAAGCAACGAGACAAACGGCGATATTATCCATCGCGCAAATCATTGAAAACGTAAAAAAGCTGCGACTTAAAATTTAACGATAAACGAATTTGAAATTATAAGAGGCAAACTGGATGTGTTTGAATTTCACTTAAGGAGTAAGAAAATATTTACGCATAGTGATTGCATTCGTGTGGAGCGATCGAGAAGGTTCGATACGAATTATGAAGATATGTATAAATATTTTTTAAACTCTACATATATACGTACATATTTTGTTACTTAAAATTTGTATCAAGTTGGAATCCTGAATACATTTTTCCGCTTCAACCCCACCCCTTTATAGCTGCATTCACCAGCCTAGCCGCCCATGCAATTTCCAATCGAAATTACTTTCCCTTTCAAATTAAAAACGCCAAAAGAAAAGCGAAAGATGCAAAGTCGAATGAAAAAAGTGAAAAACTGGCCATTGGAAATTATAGCCTCGTAAAAGTTTCTACATAGGCAATATCTGAAAGCATCAATCTGAAAATCGCAAAAAAGCTCATTCAAGCACGTAAATTCATTTCACTCCCCAAAGCGCAGCCACACTGCCGCCACCCCCTGACGCCACCCCCTGACGCCACCACTTGGCCACCTTTAGCCTACAAGTTAGTAGAAAAAAAGCAACTTACTCACAAACGTACAAGTTGAATGTCCAAAAATTGTTGAAAGCCTGTGGCAGCTAAAGCGTGCAACAGTGTAGCAGCGGCAATGCAGCTTTTCCTAGAAACTACTTAAGTACTCGGCGAACAACCAAAGGCTTGGTGTATATTTCGCTTTTTGTTGTATATATATATATCTGTGTACATTAGGGTGGTAAAAAAAAAAAAATTAAAGTCGGAAGTATCGAAAAAATTTAACCTAAAAATAGTTAGAAGTCGAGAAAAAAAAACAATTTTTCGTGGAAATTGTACCTATAGGAAATCTGTATTTTTCAATCCCTAAACTCTGTTTCTCTTTAGGAGACCTCTAGGAATAATATCAAATTGTTTATTTAATAATTTTTTTATATTAACGATTTTTATTCGGTCCCCCCAAAACCTCCACAAATTTCAATGGGGGATCCATAATAAGTCGTTTAATATTAAAAAAGCTTAAAAAAAACAATTGGGTATTGTTTTTTAAAGTCTCCTGAATCGAAAAAGAGTTGCCGATTTAAAAATATGGATTTTCCAGGATTCTATACTATTTCTACGAAAAATAGTTTTTTCCCCATATAGAATACTTGCGAAACTTTGAGCGACCTCTAAATATTTTTTGTTTATTAAAAAAACAGTGGTACATTTTTTCAATAAAGAACAATAATGGGGCTGAGAGCACTAAAATTCCGAACATCGGAGATGTTTTTTATCCCTTCCTCAACACCAAATATTCAAGAGACGTTCATGCGCCCCTTTAAAATCCAAAGATCCTCGATTCCAGCCATCCTCCAGCAACAAAAAAATAAAAACAGCTTGACTAAATAACTGCCTAGATTTTGAAGATAAAACCATAATTTCGACTATTAATTCATATGCATCTCTCACGACAAGGCTACGGAGGTGAGCTCTAAGGTAGATAAAAAGAGGGAGGGCTCTCGTGTTGAAAACTCTCATTTATTTCGTTAAAGAGATGCGCAAATTCTCGAACTTCTGAAACTCTGCTATATGCAGCCAATTGTTTATCTTGGACTAAAGGGCTACACACATTTCGTAATCTCGAAACGGGAGGACTTTAATTTGACTGGCGTCAATAGTTTGGCATCTACAAAAAGAGACCGTTGCTCATCACCCCAGTCGGAACCAGCTGAATGTGGTTCCCTAAGAATACTTTTTAGGGTACTGAGTTTTTCACGTGGAATTCAAAGCACCTTTACATTCTGCAGGAAAACTTGTGAAAAAATCTACATGAAGAAATAATTACTTTTTTTTCACTACTATAGAAGGCTAAAAATCTGTAGGTCGTGAAAACTTCAGTGGTAAAGTCAGCACTTTGTAATGCCTTGACGTCGGAAACTAAATCCGAACGAGAATACAAACTCTCCAAAGCTCTCCAAACCAACAACAACCACTTCATGCGAAATTGCCCTTTTAAAGAACTGTTTGTCACGCCTGTATAAAAGCGAATTAAAGACTTCGTGTTTTTGGAACTACTTCGGAGTTGAAAAAGAACCGAAAAT